GTGATGTGCCTCCTGTTTGCTAACTTCCCCTGTGAAATACACAGACCCTCTACAGCTTTGCCTTTCCTACATCTGGAGTCTCTAGAAGCAACAGCACATGTGCAGCTCTCCTGCCCCTCCCTCCCTGCCTGCCTCCGCAGGAAAAGAAACAATACAAAAGAAGAAAGTTATATCTTCCGGTCTCTAACTCTTTTTATTAACGCAGACTGCCTTCCATCATCCGATTCCCAAATCTTTTATTAACCTGTCCCCTACAAGATGGGGACATTTTCTTAAGTATAGAAGAGGAAGGGAGTTTTTTAAAAGAAAAAATAAAAGAAAAGAAAAAGAAAGGAACCCAGACCAGTGACTAAATGCACTTTATTCAGGCTCTTGTTTGAAGTGCGTGTGTCCTCTCAGTTTTAAGGACATGCCTTTTAGAAAAAAAGGGCATTTTGTCTTCAGTCCAAACAGACCCAAACTTTTTTTCTCATCACGTGCCTGGCTGGAGCCAGTGGGAGGCTTTGTAATGCGATCAGATCTCTAGGGCCAGCCTCCCGACCCACCCAAATAACAACAGGGTAAGCCGGCAACAGACACTTGAGCACTTTTAAAGGGAAGAGATCCAGGCTTGACCTCTCACCAGGACCTTGGAGAAGCTTGGGAACAGCCCACCGCAGAGGTAAGTGGGAGCTACTGGGGAGGAGAGCTGTTTGGGAAGGTCAGGACACATTCAAGTTCACCTACAGAAGGGCAAAATGTACTCTTCCCACCTCTGCCACCATCCTGTCCTCCCTACTTACACCACAGGTGAGGTCTGCCTCCGAATAATGTCCTGGGACATTTTCCTACCTGTTTCTCACAGATGTCTGAATCCTCTGCCTATTTGTTTTCCTGGCAATTGACAAGTAATTCGAATGGACTGGGTTTGGCTTCAGATTCATGCACAGGAACAATTCCCAAGAGGCAAATCAAACTGGAAGACTGTTGGGAAGCTACTGTTGACTGCTGCTCATCTCTAATCTGACATCACCTGGAGGGAATGGGGCAATAATAACAGTTTTTAAATCTCTGAAAGGATGTGTGGGCTTTGAGCTGGACAACCAGGTCAAATCTGTTTCCCGCAACATTCTAAGATATATCCATAGTGGTTCCAGGTATGGAATTGTTAGTGGTCTGATGGGACCCACAGGACTCCCACCAAGGTTATGGAGTGAGAAGCATGCCCTCAGGGTGTGTAGATGGAGAGAAATCCGAGGCCAGTGTTTTCAGGGTACCCCTACAGGCCCTTTGGAGCCTCAGATCAGCAAGACAAGATGCTGACTCTTGGGTTGTGTCAGTTTCATATGGAAGTTCAACTACATTTCTCTGGTTGGAACACAGAGATGTGATTCAATTTGCTAGAACAGAAATGCACTGAGCATAAGCTTCTGATATTGGACCAAATAGTAGGTAGCACAAGGGAAAGTCACTGAAATGCTCAACAGCAAACACTGGACACATTCTCAGGACAAAAAGCAATGCTTTTTGTTGCTTTTTCTCATCTTTCACTTATTCAGCAAACACTTCCTGAGTGTCTGCTCCATGCCAGGTGCAGTCCTGTGATCTCATAGTAAACAAGACAGGCAGGCTCTCTGAGTCCCCTCCCAGGAGTGCAGTCAAGTGGGGCAGTGAACTCAAGGTCCTTGCTAGCACTGCAAGGACCATGTAGCAAAAGGAGTAAAACAGCCCAAAGGGAGTTGTTTCTGTCTCGGAGGCTAACCTTTACCTGGAAGCATTTCTCTTCCTGAATCAATACCTATGGCTCTTCCTTCTGTAGGAGCCTCACACTTGAACAGACCGTGGGTCATAGCAGCAGCTCTCAGAACCTTCACCAGAGGTGTTAGGCTGTGTTCCAGCATTTCAGCTCAATTTCCCCAGCTCTGGAGGAAGAAAGCTTGGTTCTTTTTTAGAATACAAACAGCCTAAGAACAAAGGCTGAAGTAAGGGGCGTTCTTCCTTAGGTGCCTTCTCCCCGTGTCTCTCCATTTCCCCACTTATTTGTGCTATTCCAAAACCACATGCAGCACCACACAAAGTGTTAGGAAACCTGAAATTTTTTTTCCCCCTTTGCTGTACTGGGGATTGAGCCCAGATGGGCTTTACCACTGAGCCACATCCCCAGCCCTATTTTTTTTTTCTGTTTTTTAATTTCAAGACAGGGACTCCCTAAATTGCTGAGGCTGGCCTTGAACTTGCAGTCCTCCTGCCTCAGCCTCCAGAGTTGTTGGGATTACAGGCATGTTCCACTACATCCAGCTAGAAACCTGGATTTTGCCAGAAACTGTGTGGAGTTTGGAGTGGGTCCCCTCTGCTATTAAGTTTCATGTCCTTATCTCTAAGATGGAAAAGGTAGACCAGGTGATCATGAGGGCTTTTTGTGTTTTTTTTTTTTTTTCGTTTGTCCTCTAAGGGTAAATTTTTAAAATAATTTTATGTTTATAAAGAAACAATACATCTTCCCATGAAGATGATATATCATATACCTATGAAAAAGGAATAGGTGACCATGCAGTCAAGCCAGGAACCTAGAATCTGAAAGACTGGATGCAGAAAAACCTCAAAATTCAACTGTCTCTACTCCTCCCACCCTTACCCTATTTTTCCGGCCTGTGTTCAAATTCTTACAATCATGAACACCAGCTATGATTTTGTTGTATCATTGATCTAGATTGGAGATTTTTCAATAAAAAGCTTGCACAGCCAGAATCACCTACTTTCAATAAGAACCCACAGAGATTATTTAATTTGGATACTCTCATAATTTTTATCAGATTGCCTTTGAGGAGCTATAAAATTTATAGCTATCCATAGCTATAAAATATTAGAAACTTTACTTTTAGTGAGTTTTATTTCTTTATCTTCCCTGACTGCATTTCCTTCTTAAATCACTATTTCATGTTTTCCTCTTCAATACTTTATCATTGGAAAATCAAATTATATAATATTATTTTATGAAATAAGGCAAAAAAATCTTATCTTATTTATCCTCATATCCCACATGTCTAGCATTGTGTCTGGCACATAATAAATATCTCCTGAGGGGCTGAGGATATGGCTCAAGCCGTATCGTGCTCGCCTGACATGCGTGCGGCCCGGGTTCAATCCTCAGCACCACATACAAACAAAGATGTTGTATCCGCCGAAAACTGAAAAATAAATATTAAAATTCTCTCTCTCTCTCTCTTTAAAAAAAATTAAATAAATAAATATCTCCTGAAAGAATGATTAATATTTTAGAGAAAATATGTACTTTAGGGGCTGGGGATATAGCTCAGTTGGTAGAGTATTTGCCTCGAATGTACAAGGCCCTGGGTCCAATCCCCAGCACCATAAGGAAATAAATAGTCTTTGATTTAAAAACAAAAACAGAAACATGTACTTTAGTAGCAGCTCCATTATTCATGGCTGGTCTTATCCATTGTGGACTTTTCAATCTCTGACATCCTGCATTCATCAACATCAACACATTCTATACTTTCTACAGTCTTAGGTGTGATAGTGAATACTAAATTCAAATTCTGCCTCTAACTATGTCAAATTTGAAGCCAAACACTGAACATTTCTATGCCTCCATTTCTTCAGAAGGGAAATGGGGGCATCAGAAGAAACAAGCTCTAGACAACTTCTTAGATTAGGGAGATTTCAAAAAGAGGAGGAGGAGGGGAGGAGGAGGGGGAGGGGGAGGAGGAGAAGAAGACAGTCAAGCCAGAGAAAGAAAACCCAATAAAAATATAGTGATTATGGGCTGGGGTTGTGGCTCAGTGTCAGAGTGCTTATCTAGCACTTCTGAGGCACTGGGTTCGATTCTCAGCACCACATAAAAAGAAAGAAATAGGGCTGGGTTTTGGCTCAGCAGTGGAACGCTCACCTAGCACATTCGAGGCCCTGGGTTCAATCCTCAGCACCACATAAAAATAAGTAAGTAGGGCTGGGGATGTGGTTCAAGCGGTAGCCGGCTCGCCTGGCATGCGTGCGGCCCGGATTCCATCCTCAGCACCACATACAAACAAAGATGTTGTGTCCGCCGAAAACTAAAAAATAAATAATAAAAATATTCTCAAAAGTAAATAAATAAATAAATAAAATAAAGGTAGTGTGTCCAACTACAACTAAAAAATAAATATTTAAGAAAAGAAATGAATAAAGGTATTGTGTCACCCTATAAAAATATTTTTTTAAAAATAATGATTGTAGTACTTAAATATTTTAAATATTTACAAAATTGCCTTAAATTTTACTTACCAAATTTTCTTCCTCCTTCTTTTTTTTTTTTTATTTTGCACTTAAGATTGAACCTAAGATCACTCTACCACTGAACCACATCCCTAGCCCTTTTAATTAATTAATTAATTTTGGTACCAGGAATTGAATCCAAGAGCACTTACCTACTGAGCCACATCTCCCAGCCCTTTTTTGGTATTTTATTCAGAGACAGGGTCTCACTGAGTCGCCTAGGGCCTTGCTAAATTGCTGGGGCTGACTTTGAATTTGCAGTCCTCCTGCCTCAGTCTCCCAAGTTGCTGTGATTACAGGTGTGCTCCATCAAATCCAGCCCCAGCTCTTTTTATTTTATTTTGAGACAGAATCTCCTAGGTTGTCCGGAACTGTCCTCCTGCCTCAGCTTCCTGAGTAGCTAGGATTACAGGTGAACCCTGTCCAGCTTTTACTTGGCAAATTTTCTAACTTGAACACTATGATTGGGAAAGAACGCTTTTTTGGGTAAAGACCCACCTGCACCCCCATTTTTGAGGTCTCCTCTAGAAAGTTTCTTACTGTGTTCACATAAAACTGAAAATGTGTCAACAGGAAGGCAGAGAGGCTCAGAAAGCAAGTTGGTTTGGTATAAAATATTCAGCAGAATGATACTGTTGTGAATCTTAGAGGATTCAACACCTAGATAAGTATCTCAGGAGTTGGTTACAGGCGTTCTGGCAAAGCTGAAGAATAAGGGGCAAGTTAGAAAATGTTTCGGTTGTGCTAATAAAATCAGATGTCCTTAGATAAATGCTGCTACTCCTACACATACTCATACAGACTTTCTCACCACCAGAAGATAAAGTCATTCTCCCTTTTGCCAGAGATGTTGTGGAACCTCACGGTCAGAGGTTGAACTTGGATATCAGTCCCTAATCACTCAGTTGTATCAATGCCCAGTTTCCACAGACACAATGACCTGAAGTGCACCAGGCCTGCCTCATTCCAGGGTCAAGGTCTTATGATTGTACTGAGAGCCTGGTCTCTACGGACTTCTGCTTTTGATTTTAATGTCTGATTCTGTTAACTTATACCTTATTCCCAGGTTCATCTCATGAGTTTAATCATAGCCATTCTTACTGGGGTGAGGTAATATCTCATTGTGGTAAACTGCACTATAATTTATTTATCCAGTCCTTTTTCAAATATATATATATATATATATATATATATATATTAGACAGACACAATACTTTATATTTTTTATTTATTTTTATGTGGTGCTTAAGATCAAAACCAGTGCCTCACACATGCTAGGCAAATGCTCTGCCAACTGAGCTACAACCCCAGCCCATATCCAGACTTTATTGGTGGTCATCTAGATTGTTCCCAGTCTTTAGCTATTAAAAGCAATGTCATAATGAACATCCTTGTAGATATGTCATT